GCTTTTTGGAGGGTTTCCCCCCATTTCTGATGGGTCTTGGGGGTTTGTTTTTTGTTTTCCCCCCATTTGTGGTGGGTCTTGGGGGGTTAGTTGCTTTCGGGGGGGTTCCCCATTTCCGATGGGTCTTGGTGGGTTGTTTGTTTTTTGGCTTTTTCCTCCCCCATTTCCGATGGGTCTTGGAGGGTTGGAAGCTTTTTTTGGAGGTTTTCCCCATTTCCGATAGGTCCGGCATGCTTCCCTTGCTTTTTCCTTTTGTTTTTTTGTTTTTGCATTTCTGACCTGCCCCGTTTATTCTCTGTGCATTTCCAATCTGCTCCATTTGTTTTCTGTGCATTTCCAATGGGTCTTGCATGCTTGACTGCTTTTCTTTTTTCCCTCGCCTTTGGCTGGAAGGGATTAATCATGTTTCCAATGAGTCTTGCAGTGATATTTTCTGGTGATTTTTTTCTTTGGCCAGACGGATTAATTGTATTTCAATGCATTCTCTGAGAAATGGTGCTTCGACTTACGACCATTTCAAGTTATGTCCATCTTTTGGAACGGATTATGATTGTAAGTCGAGGCACCCACTCTAGACATGTTTACTCAGAAGTATTTTTCACTGTACTGGGTAAGTCAAAATGCTCATGATTGCAATTTCATTGTGTTAACACCTGGCACCCAATATTAATGGCTCTGGTCATCTCAGGCCTAGACCAAGAGGTTTTGTTGCCTGAAATCAAAACCAAGATGGCACCTCTGCATCTATTCACACAGAGAAGCTGAACAGATTGGCACTTGAAGACTGGCACTGTAAGAGCATCCTCCAACAAATGAAAAGAGCAGGCCAACAAACAGCTTTGTCATCCAGGAGAGGGAGAATGCTGTGCTGCCTCCCCTGACCCCCAGCATCTATTGACTGAGTTGCTTCACTTTGCCTGGTACTGGGGTCTGTCACAAATAACATGTAGCAAGATGCAGGATGGTCAGGGCAGATGGGGGAAAATACCAATTTCCAGTTTTGGCTCCAACAGACACGTATGCTGTCTCTCAATGTGTAGGCATAGACACGCATTACTCCTTCCCCCTCCTCCACCAAGCTAGGTAAGCAGAAGCCAGGTCAGGCTACACAGTATAAAACTCTGGAAATCAAATGCCAGCACCAGGTACAAGAGAATGGCTTAGGAAGACAGACAGAATGGTAGAACAAGGTGGCCCTAAACACAACCTTTGCTCAGGAATTTGAAGCTTTTGCCCATGTTTTCATATACAAATATGCTTCTGTTTCTCTCTCCCTCAAAAACAAATACGAATTTTTATTGCGGCTAGTGTTGAAGACCTTTGGTAATCTAGTTTAAATTGTTCAAACCTTTACATGTAGGAGAGCTTGGAATAGGTTTTTTTTAACCTAAATAAACCCCCTGCCCCCAGGAGATTGGCTGTAGCCATGTTGCCTGGGAAATTATGGGAGTCGTAATCCAAAAAGTAACTTTTCCAAATTCTGACTGGTGGAGCCTTCTCTCAACTTACAGCCATCCCAACATATACTGCAAAAATAAAATGGTTAGCATGCTTTGTGAAGAAGTGCTTCCACCACCCCCTACTCTGTCCAAATAAGGCTCTACAGCCATAGCCATGCAACAAATCATCCTCCCTGAATCTGTAAAACAGTATGGATCAGATCTCCATCCCATGGGTTTAGAACTCCTTGAACCTCACTCCTTGGATACTTTTTAAATTCCTTCTGGCCCCTCCAAAGTCCCTGCGTGACATTTGGGCGTTGGGGTGTTACCTTGATGGTGGAGTAGAGGAGAAAGCAACAAAGTCATTAGTCAGTTGAGAGATGAGTCTATCAATGGGAGCATAGTGGGAAGGCTCCATCACATGTGCCATATGGTGTGGGCTTTGAAGGTGCTGGAAGGCAAGACAGCAGTGTTAGAGAGTACTAAGGAATGAGAAAGATGTGTGAAGATGCGAAAAAAGAAAGGACGATGAGCCAGTAAGTGTCTCTTGTCCTCCTCCTACTTGATCAAGCATCCAAAGGATAGTAAGCCCTGTTGTATATGAGCTGGACACTGGTTTAGATCTGGCTAGATAGCTCAGTCCATTGGAGTAGCTGGCTATGGAGCCACAGACTGAGAGCTCAGTTCCCCCTCTGTGTTTCACAGGAGAAGAGGTGGCTTGTGTTGTTTTTGGCAAGCCATAAAGTTCCAGAAGAGAATGGAAAATCACTTTTGAATACTCTATAAAACTTGGAAAGGGTTGCCATCAGTTGGAATCACCTCAACAGCACACTGTTGTTGTTGTTGTTGTTGTTGTTGTTGTTGTTGTTGTTAAACTGATTTAGAGAGAAGGTGGAAAAGGAGGCCAGGGCCATCTTAAAGCAGAGTTTTGAAATGTTAAATTATTGGACTATAGCTCTCAACGTCCCCTGACCAACATGGCTAGTGACCATGCTGGGGAAGAGCTTCTGATAATTGTAGCCCAAAATAAGGGTATCTGCAAGCTCTGCTTAGGAGGAAATCCTAAGACAGCCATCCAACAAGCGTTTGCAGTGACAGTACAGAAACGGGTGCTTTTCTAGGTTTCCTTATCACGTGGTTTAGCAACTTGCTCAGCCTTAACAGAAAATGACAGAATTCTAAATGAAGCTTCTCAGTTTTACAAATGGAAGGGACAACGTAGGCATGTGAGCCATCTCCAGTAACGCAGCACTGAATACCATTATAGCTCAGTGGTACGTGCACTGTAGGTCCCATGACACATTTGTACCTAAAGCTGCATATATGCTGAGATTCTCTGGAAGCACAGGGGGAAAAACACAAGAGATGGTATGGGAGGCAGATGTCATCCTTCTGAGAATCTCAGGTTCAAAAATATTAAATCCATTAAAGTGCAAATATCCATTTTATTGTATTTTAGTGCTGATATCTCAGAAGTCAGGCAGACAGTTGGACAACATTTTAAGTGGTAAGGTATGGGCAAGCATCCTGCCAGCCTGGCCCTAGTCGCATCATAGAGCAAATACTACATCTCCGAAGGTCAAAGAACCGGTTTTGCTTCAGCACATACAAGCTTAAGGCACCTGGTCCAGAAAAAGGCAAAAAAATGTTTTCTCTGGGGAAGTCCACCAGCCAGAGCTGGAGTGGAAGACTTGCTTACCGCATGCAACTCTGCGAAGGTTCCTTTACAACACTCACAATAGCCTTTCCGTGTTTTGGGCACGAGGCAGCCGGCAGCAGGAGGGCTTGACCCACTCAGCGAGCCGCGGCTGTTGGGTTCTCTGCAGAAGAGGAGAAGCACCAATCCAGTCAGAATCTTTCATTTCTCCTAACCAGGTCCTAGACTTTGTTTTCTCCACCTTGAAATTTACTCAAGATGTTTTGAATTTTTTAATTCTCCCCTCTTAGCATGACCAAGTGAAAAAGGGTACAGGGGTTTTGCATCTTCAGCAGTTGCTTAGAAAAGGAAATTTCATCAGGTGAAGCTTTTAATGCAAGCTACTCCCCCTGAATTTTACTCCTGCACGTACTTAGGAGCTCTGTACTTTTTTTTATCTGCTCACCTTATCTTCTCCCAACATTTGAGAGCCTCACCTATTTTGGCCTGAGTTTCAGAACACATCATCAGTCCAGACCTGTGACTTTTTCTATAAGCTTAGGGTAAGAACAACTGTAGTGACGGACAGGCTTCTAGCTGTCCATCTTGTTTCCTTACTACATTGACAGTTTTTCAGTCCTGCGTATTATTCACCATCCTATTGAGTTATTTACCACCTTGACTCTCTCTCTCTCACACACACACACGCACACACACTTACTTTGAGACAGAAGATGATTGTGGAGGTACAAATGGGCTATGTCTTTTCCGAGCCAGGAAATACAGCTGAGGAAAATTCCTGAATTGTTTAAAGAACGGACAAAGTTGCCTAGATTGAGGAGTGAAAAGTCTGGATCAGTCCTGAGATTAAAGGGAGCAGCCCTTAAGAAGGCACTGGCCATATTCACACAAAACACTGTATCAGAATTCCTCAAAATCTAGTCAGTTAATTAATTTACCATGTTTTATATCCATTAAATTCTTATGCTGCTCTTTTCAGTTTTTGGATGCCCAAGCATTTAATCTTTAGTATCTTTATGCTAATAAATTTCTTACTGTTAATATTTCTGACTAGCATGTATAAGCTCCCCTAAGAATTTATTGGAAGGACAGGGGAAAACAGGGGAAAGATGTTGAAAACAACTCAACAGCCTCAAACCCAGTGCACAGAAAAAAAAATTCCTGTTTGGTCCACAACTCCCAGAATCCCACAGCTGTCATGGCCAGTGTCCAAAACTCTTTAGTTGCTACACAAAGAAAAGGAGTGTTTTCAAGAATGAAAACAACGAGAGAAAAAGAACAGCTGCTTGCACTGCCAGCTCGCAAGCACTGTATCTCAGCTTGGTGATTTAAAAAAACAAGGATCCAGAGCCCTACATTGATTAGAAGTCCTGCTAACATTGTCTGGCTGTAGCAGAGTTCCTAAAAGTTCTTTTTAAAATTATATCCATGGGATGAATATAATTGGGGTGGGTGGAGGACTGTGGGAGCTGAATTCCAAAGAGTAATTTCTCCAAGTTCTGCTCGGAGGTGGAATATTCTGCTTTCTGCTACAGAGCTGCCTCTCCATCGGAGGCCAGGCCTTGGGCTGATCTAAGCTCCTGGCACCTTTGTTCTCAAGTCAAGAGAGAGAGAGAGGAAAAAACAGTATAGCCTTTACCTGCTCACATCTTCGATTTTTAGGAAGTGTGCTTTCAGCCTCAACACTAGGAAGGAAACAGGGAAAAAAAACGAGCAACTTTCAGCATCTCTTCTTATTAAAACATCAGAGGAAGTAACGATACAGCAACTACTAGGCTAATTGTGGACTAGCAGAAAGGTCAAAGGAAGCCAAGTACACCTGGACCTCAGCACCTCATTTTAAAAATTAAACACTGGGATACGACTGATGAGGGTAAAATTGCTGTTAAGCTGCAAGCTCTGGGAAAAAAAATAGCTGAGCAAGCTGTTGCAGGTGACTGTTACTTAAACACTGTGCAACAAGGCGATTATTATATTAAAACAACAGTCCGCCTTGTGGGCAGGCACGGTGCCAGTGCTGTGCCAACGCTCCATTGTTAGCGAATGGGACGCCGTCCAGGGCTGACAGCCACAATAGCACATCTCCAGGGAAGAGGAAATGGTGTCGGACCTTGTTGCCCACACAAAGGAAGCCCATCAGCTGTTGCAAATGCCAGGGAACGGTTAAGATTTCCCTTGAAGGGCACAGGGGAAAAGGGCAGAAGGCAAAATATTGCGTAGACGTATGAAGCCGAAAAATGTCTGACAGATAAAACAGAGTTAAGACAATAAATGGTAAAATTATCTTCATTACTAGAATAACAAAAGGCTTTGAAAATTTACAGTGCCTTTGTAGTACAGTAAGATAAAGGGACAAGAAGCAAATTTTACTATCAGTGCCTGAAACAGTTCCTTTTTCTGGCTCACAATGCCCCTACCTTGGCTGCCGTGGGGACTGGGGAAGTTGTGGTCCAAAACATTAACTTCTCCAGGGTCTGGTTCATCTGTTCAATATTTATCTACACACAGGACCCTACACTTCTCTTCTGGTTTGCTGTCTGCACTCAAACTTTCTCCCACAACATTCCACTTTTTTTTTAGAAAAAAAGTTTACTCCTGGTGTTGAATCAGTCTTTATTTCGTCTTAAGTTGTATGAGAATGTATGTCGAGGCATTCCTCTCTGGCTTCACATTTTAAGACTAGGGTGTATAACGCACACCTGAGTATGCATCCAAGTCACAACACAAGGCTGGAAGATGTGGAAGGAAATGGGAGGTGGCAACAGATGACCCAGGTCTAAGAACTCCTCCAAGAAAGCTTCCATACTCACCTTTTGGAGGTTGGAACCCAAAAGCACCTAACTTCACCTAGATGAAGGAAAACACTCGGTAAGAAAGAGGAAGACAGTGAACCTTCTGCCAACGTTAAAGGCAGTAAAGGATCCATCATTTACTTATTGGCACTTACGTATTGATTAAAATTTCAATGTTTTTAACAAAGTATGATAAAATCACAACAAAATACAAGACAAGTATTTAAAAGTGACATTAGCACAACCAAGGAGAAAAACAAAGTTATCTTTCCTGGTAAATTTACCGGTATAAAATTGCAGAGTTGAAAAACCCTCAAGGATAGAGCATCCCTAGCAGAGAGCAATTCACCCTATATCTAAAAACTTCTGACAAAAGGGAGACCACGACCATCTAAGGCCGCCAGTTCCACCATCAACAGCTCTAGCCACCAGGACGTTCTTTCAACAGCTACCGGAAAGTGAAGAGGACTTGAGCGCCTATTGAATTTGTCCATTTTCCTAGTTTGGCAAAATAAACACCCCAGATTAGAATGCAGATGGATAACCTGTATCCTCCAACAACGTTTCAGAGCTGCTCTGCCACGATTCTTTTGAGAAGCCTCCTTAGGAAGCCGAGTCTCTGTGCCTGGGGTAGAGAAGTCAAGCTCCACAGAGGGGCTTCTCAAAGAGCAGCTGCACCGTCACCCCTTTCAAGATGGATCCCGACAGCCCCTTTCCAAGGATGCATTCTCCCCAACCAGGGCTTGCTTGGTCCATCTCCTATACGTAGCTTTAATCAGCGAAAAAAAGAGGAAGGTTTGGGATAGAGAACGTGGCCAAGTGTAGAAAAGAAAATCCCCTCTGGATATCCTCAGGACCCCAAAAATAAAACTGGTGCTATAATACAGTATAGGTTTTGAAACAGCACTCGATATGGCTGGGATTGGAATCAATATAATGTCAACACTGACATGTGGAGACAGACCCTTTTATTCTTAAAGAACTTGGCAAAAGCATGGTGGGAGGCAGTTAACAGAAGCAGCCAATGGCAACCCGGCCCCCTCGCCAGTGCCACCAGTCAAGAGATGGGCTTGCGAACCTCTTCGCTGGTGGAAAAGAAGTGTTTTATGTCAGTGTGTCCAAGAGACAGAGATTGGAAACATTACATTTTGGAGCGACATCCCAGAATGTCCCTGGCCATGCATTAGCACTGGCCCTTTTCACTTAGGGGCCGAGGAAGAAAGAGGCTTCCACACTTTCCCCAAATCCACATCGAATCTTCCTGCTAGCTGTCTCCTAGTTACACCACACTTCTAAGAAACGGCTTGCCAACTGTGGGCAAGATACTTTAATATGGTGTAAACAGCAGAAAGGGATCCTCCAAAGAGTCTTAACTAGGCTCCCTGCTCTGAAGCAGGACAAACTGCCTCCAGATATCTGGGATGAGCATCATTAAATCTCTTTGTGGGGGGGTAAACAGAACATTTCAATCACACAAGCCTTCCAAACAAGATCTATCTTAAGCAAGATATTCCCCAATCTGCCATTTAAGCCCTGGGTTGAGCCCTTATGTGCTGTCAAGTTCCCTCTGGTTTATGGTGACCCTATGTATTAGTGGGTTTTTTTTATTAAGACAACCCACCTCTTGTTTGGTTTTCCTCTTTTCCTGTTGCCTTCACCTTTTCCCAGCATTACCATCAACAAACAAGCTCTGCAAAATCATAACAGCCTCACTAGGAAGCTACTTCTATTGGTACCAACCTTGGAAGGACGCTTCTTAGATAACCGCTGTATGTAGGCCACCATTTCTGAGGAAGGAGGAAAGTTAAGGAGCCAGTATTATATTCCAGTCTTTAGAAAAAGGTAAATGAGAGGGCCGAAGAAGCACACCTACATTGTGGGAGAAGAGAAGCCAGGTTCGCCGTTACCTCAGTTCAAGTAACTGGGTGTTCTATTATTGCCGGGTTTTCAAGTAGACACTGCAGTTTGTGCCTTCAGAAGCAGTTTGATCTGGTGACACTAATATCTTAATATGCTTACCTTGCCATCCAATTAAAGCTCAGGTTGGCAACTGAGAGGCCACATGGCTGTGTCTTTAAGAACAGTGTGGCTCGAGGGAAGGTAAAAAATAAAGTGAATCTATCCATTCCATTCATACTAGCACTATTACAAGTAATGTCAGCATTTCAACCTCTTGCTAAAGGCACAGGAGCCGGAACCACTAAGTAAATTGGCAACACTAATCAAAGTCTAAAAGGTCAGCTTCTTTCAATCCCTTGGATTATATAAATCTTTGGAGCCTATAGAATACCATTAATGGCTACACACAGCACCACCTACAAGACAACGTGGACTCTTAAGACCAACCACATGAATTCTTCACATCAGCCAGAGGTTACTACAATGTGAAGAAATATCTCTTTATGCTCACCAGGTAAAAAAGATTGTTTTGACTTTGATTCGGCACCATTGGCTCTTTCTACCTGGTGAATAAACCAAATTATAATCCCTAACGTTCACTAGAGGCTTCTCTGTCTTTATGCTGTGCTCCCCACCCCCACAGCCAAAAAAATGTTGTAGTTTCAAAGCTGGCAATGTGGCTGGGTGTGGGGGCAATCAGAGAGTAATTGGTCCTAAGAGAGGGGTGTAAAAATTCCAAACCGTACTGCAGAGCGGCTTGAGATCGCAGCCTCAGAGGACTTATATCAACGCTCACAGACACTTGCCACCAATTTTTGGACTCTACCATTTTTTTGCACTATCTAGGAAGGGTTGTGCTAAGCCTGAAGAAGTTGAATTTTCTCCATGAAAGCTTGCAATCTGTTTAATTTTTAGTAGCCCAAGAAAACGCATCACCCACTCTTAACATCTATATAAATCCCTAGTAACACCCGTATACTGTATTATAAAACCTCTTGATTCCTTGCTTGACTGCCATCTTGTGGCAAGATGGATGCACTGCACAGCTCTGACACAAAAAAGATTTTGTATAATGCTATGCTATACACCAGTTGAAATCAAGACAAGTTAAATCACCTTGAAAAAAGACCAATTTAAATGTATGTATTTTATTGAAGCATATGTATGCAGCTTTTCAAGGCAATCATTTGTTCAAAGCAGCTGCAACAAGATAAAAATTTACCATCTATGTGTATAATCTGTACTCCCCAGGATCGTGCACTGACAAGAATGCTATTGCCACCGATATTGTCCTGAAAAGAAAAGAGCAAGCGTTCAGAATGGCTACCCATTGCAGCTCATGAACAGCTCATATGCAGACAGAATGCTTTTCCTAAAACAATTATGGGACCATGGTAACCCACCAGCTTTGAGACAGAACTACCAACATATTGTATATGACTTATCATCTGAGTTTAGTTCTGCTAACTCAGAGCTTTCAGCCCCACCCCAGATTTCTCTGAAGTATCAGGTGGTCAATATTCAGCAGCTTTATATATCTGTCTCAGCCATATTATTTGTGGACACAGGACAGTTTCTTACCTCCCTTTGCAGAATACAGCTTGGCTATGTCCATTGAGCTTTTATGCTCAGTGGGTATCCACTCTGAATGTGGGACACTGCCTTTTACATGTCTCTTGGAGAACCATATTTCCACTTTTGTCATATGTGAGCTGCAGCAAGTGCTCACACACAAAAGCGCCACCTTGCAAATATAGGCAAGTGAAGAGTTGTCTCCTTGCTCACCTGATTGCCAATGGCTTTGTGCAAGAGCTTCTTTCCACGACTAATCAGGGCCTGAAAAATAAGGTCAATAGGGTGAGATCAGGACAAGCAGAGTGATGTCAAAACAGATAGAGATGGAGAATCAGGGTTTTCCCCCATCTTGGCAGTAGACCCCACTTCAGAAAATAAGACAGAACAGACAATAGCACAACAGCCCAGCAGGTACCTTTTTCTAGGAATTCCTCTTGAGCTGGTCACTTTCCATACGGCTTAGAAACTCAACATATAAATAACAGTATGTCATGCTAAAGCAGAGCCCAGGAACTACTGGCTCTGCAGATATTTTAGACCAGTGGTTCTTAACCTGTATATCATGCTAAAGCAGAGCTCTGCAGATATTTTAGACCAGCCATTCTCAACGGGGGCCTGGCACATTTGAAGAGGGCTGTCAGCTGGAAACAATTCTTCACACACCACCGTATAAGATTTGTTATGTGACTTATACAATCCTAATTCGGCCTATATTTCTTGCAAATTGTGTTTATGGTAATGGTTAAAAAAAAGGGTTGACAATGCCTGTTTTAGACTAACTCTCACAATCCCATGAGGTTGGTGGGGGAGCCGTTGGCTGGAAACAATTCTTCACACACCTCCGTATAAGATTTGTTATGTGATTTATACAATGCTAATTTGGCTTATATTTCTTGCGAATTGTGTTTATGATAATGGTAAAAAAATAAAAATAAAAAAGGGTTGACAGTGACTGTTTTAGACTATAACTCTCACAATCCCATGAGGTTGGTGGGGATTGGTGGGAGTTGCAGGTGACAATATCTTGAAGACCAAAGGTTCCCTAGACCTGCCTCAAAACTGACAGTGGAAAGGAAGGCAAAGTTAAAGGGTTTTATGGAAGATGAACATAGAAATGGGGATATCTCTCTGAACAGCCAACTGAAAGATACCCCAATTCCTGATATACAACATCCATGGCATTATAATCTGGCAACAATTATCTAGCAGAAAAAGAAGAACGGTGATAATTAAGTCAAATGCATGTGTTCTTAGTCTGGTATATGGGATTTCTTTGGATTCAGTTTTGGCCTTTTAGGTTAGAAGCTTAGAGGTGTGAGACAGAGAACACAGGCATGGGGAGGTGCAGAAGACAAGCTGGCACTCTAGCAGCCGAAATCCTCACCCAGTTATCTTTCTCTTAGTAAGCACGGTAACATTTTGGGGTTTAAAAGAAAGATTTGGTACTTATCACAATGTGAATGCAGGTTAGTCAAATGGAGGGGGGGGGATTCAGCATTATAATCTGAAACCCTGAACCCATCAAAAAGCTGCTTTGCAGTGAACACTTCTGCACTCCAAGGCAACAGAATATAAAACCCCTTGCTACCTTGTTTAGCAGTTGCAGCAACTTCTCTCAGCCAATCGAAACACTGGAAAAAGTGCTCACCTAGCAATTAAATCTCCACAGGTGGTCTGCACCAATATGGCTGAATTGTCTATGCATTCTATGCACAGTTGCCAGGCTGGCTAGGGGTGATGGGGACTGTCAACAAATCTAGAGCTCAAGAAAGATTAGCTTCGACCAATATACTACACGTGGATGGCTGGAGTGGAATAGTGGGCCAAACTAGGCACAGTGAAAAAAGAAGGGGCAGCCTGAATAGTATCATGCCAGCTGTTGTTAAGAGAGAGTTCTTCCTGCTGTCACAGTCCCCTCTTTCCATTAACAATAAGGGCTTTCTGTCTAATGCAAATAATGCTCAGATTTCTTCAATAACCTCACGAAAATGGGGAGCCTTTAAACTCTTTCTCTCTAATCCCTTGCACGTCTGACACTGCTCTGGTTTCCCTACAGGTACCATTTACATAATGCACAAACAAACATACATGTTAGTTACACGCAGACAATTAGCTTCATGTTCAAAGACATCCACCAGCATTCCACCTCCAACAGAATCAGAGATCCCTTCCCTCCCAATTGTTCCTGTAACTTAGGCATTGGGAAAGAGAATATGGATAGACCAATTCGTCATTTCAGGTCTTGGAATCTAATCTACCAGTTATCCAGGAGTCTTTTCAAACACTCAAAACAAACCAGCAAACAAGGAGTTGCATACCCAGTTACTTTTCATACCGAGTATGAAGAGTACAGGTGTGTCACAAGAAATAAAATTAAAAAGTAATTATTAAGGGCAGAGCACAGTCCCTCTCAAATTAGCAGACAATAACCATACTGTAGAACCCAGATCAGTAGGTGAATTTTAAAAACACATTAAAGGAGTACCAAGATAAACAGTACCAAAGTTGCATATTTTCCACACTCCCCAACAACTTTTATTTTATTCAACCTGCGCTGAAGTAAGGCACATGCTTTGCCATGTCCAGGACTCCTGGCTTACTGGGTCTAAAGTCTTGTGCAAAGGATCTCCACAATCTTTTTGAAGATCTGCCGAAGGCTGAGTTTCAGTTCGGGTTTCCCTCCGCGCAGCACGAGTTGGCTTTTCTGCCCGCTTCTCCTGTTTGGCCTCTTGGCTGCTGGAGACAACACAGGTCACTTCTTTACTTAGAAAACTCTCTACAACCTGGGGAGGAAGAAATAACAGAATTCATTTCAGTGATAAAGTGGAGAAGAGTGTAGAAACGAGTGAGTAAGTCACTTTCTCTCAGTTTTTAATTTCTTTCAGTCATTTTTGTTCCACTTCTGGTTTCATTAGCCTTTTAAAAAGACTCACATAAAAATGAGTAAACCACTAAGTGATTTACGAAACCCAGGACTTGACACTTAGATGCTTCTCTTAATATACAAAAATACATATTTTTGCAGACTTTTCTCTTACTATGCACATTTTTGCAAGCAATTTCCCTTAATATAATGTATTTCATATGTTATCTCCCTAGATACACAGATATGTGTAATGTGCTATGTTTTCATGTTATGGATTCTATGTTCTTGTGTGTTTTATTATTATGTGTACTGGAGATGGCATTTAATTTCGTTGTATGGAAGTACAATGATAATAAAGTAAATTCAAATATAACAAGAAAACCCCACTAGAAATTTAGGAGGCACATCAAAGTAGCAAGTATTAATACGTCATAAGTTACATTTTGGTTTAGTAACGCTGGAAATACAAAGTAGGTAGGTTTTGTTAAATATGCACTGAACATATTTCTCGCTGCTAATATGTCATAAGTCACATTTTGGTTTAGTAACGTTGGAAATACAAAGTAGGTAGGTTTTGGTTGTTCTGGGTTTTTCGGGCTGGTTTTCTTAAATATGCACTGAACATATTTCTCGCTGACCTCTACGTGTGGGCTCTCAAGTGGTAGACAGAGTTATGATTTATAGTAGTTGTGATCCTATAAAAGAGGCACAATTCTTCTAGCAAATCATCTGAGTGGGAGAGGGATATGGAAATACAAGGATGATTAAATTGTTTGAGCATGCCCAAGTGTAGAGATACTGTATAGTCATACTCTATACCAGTGGTTCCCAACCTTGGGCCTCCAGATGTTCTGAAACTTCAGCTCCCATAAATCCTGGCCAGCAGAGGTGGTAGTGAAGACTTTTGGGAGTTGTAGTCGAAGAACATCTGGAGGTCCAAGGTTGGGGACCACTGCTCTATGAAGTTCATAAGATCAAGAGAATTCTCTCATTTGTAGGTCTACAAGCAGTAGTTAATACAAGTAATATTTTAAATAAATATGTGGGTTACCTCGGACAGTTGATGGAATTCCAAAACTACATGGTTTAAGTACAAACCTTAGAGAAAACTCTGCATAGTCCAACTTTTCTTCTATTTAAATGGCAGTAAGGTGAGCAGTATTATTGAACAGTCAAATGACAATGTGTATTCCAGACCCAAGTCTGCAAGTCCCAGAATTCCACCATGCATCACAGCTAGGATACTGGCCATTTTAACTGGTGGATCCTGGAAATTGTTGTCCAAACAATAGTTCTGTCTGCCTTTGAGGTATCCCTTGTCTGAACTGACAGCATGCGAGCATATTTCAAACAGGGACTGACCTTACACTAGCTAAATGTGGTTGATGTCACATCATAACAATTTAATTTATAAAGACAATACAATTGGATTCAAGTCTGCATGAAGGCTACATCTTCGGCCACAGAAGCATTACACCTCATTTCAGTTTGGGACAGTGAGGAAATAATTTGGTTTGGCTTTTCTCTCTTTCTCTCTAAGAACTTACTAAGATTTGCAAATTTCTTCTCAAATTCTTGAAAACAATTTGATATTGAAAATGCTTTAATATGGATGGAAGTGGGTCTTCCTTTCCCTCCTGGTAAAGCCTCAAGAGAAATAACTCCACTGTACTTACTCCACCAAGTCGTTTCACATTCTCTGTCAGAAATTCCAAATTCTTGCCCCTGGGGATGTCCAAGTAAAAAGATTCCCCAGCCAAGGGACAGTCCCTGGCTGAACTCATCGCCTCACAGGTTTGATCCGAGTCTTCTGGGCTCCAGCATTCACTCTAGCTGCAAGTTAACAGGGATATTGCCAAATGTTTACACTTTATTTTATATCTTAAAACATTTTAGTTGCTTTCTTAATAGTGTTGCCTTTATTTAGTAATATTCAGTAATAATAGTAATATATTTTAAATTAAAATTGTCTGAATCTGCTGCTAATGGGATGGCCTTTGGGCAGTCTGTGTCATTTTATGTATTGTGTTATTTACTGTTGGTAACTGCATCTAAAGTATTTATTTATTTATTTATTTATTTATCCCACCTTTCTCCTTAAAAAAGAACTCAAGGTGGCTTACCTAGTTAAAATAATAAGTAGAAGCTGAAAGCAGTACATATAGTGGGGTCTTGACTTGAGAACTTAATCTGTATTTGAAGGCGGTTCTCAAGTCAGAAAGTCTGTAAGTCAAGTCTCCATTGACCTACAGTGCATTGAAAACCGATTAATCCCGTAACAGGCCGTTTTTGTTCCATTTTGCTTTTTTTTTCTGGTCTGTAAGTCAATTCTCAGGCTGCAAGTCAAACCTAAATTTTGCGGCCAGAGCTGTTATTGACTGTTGGTAACTGCATGTAAAGAATTTATTTATTTATTTATCCCACCTTTCTCCTTAAAAAAGAACCCAATGTGGCTTACCTAATTAAAATAATAATAAGCAGAAGCTGAAAGCAGTACATATACAAAAAGATTTTTTAAAAGTATTACATTAAAACAGTAATAAAATCAATGCTAAAACACATTTAAAACAACAGAGCACAACCATTCATTTAAAAACCCTTCTCAGCCCACCTGGTATTCAGGGAAAGCCTGCCTGAACAGAAGGATAGCAATGATGGGGTCAGCCTGGCTTCCCATGGGAGGGAGTTCCAGAATCTGGGGGCATCAACAGAGAAATCCCTCTCTTGCGTCCCCACCAAGCACACCTTGTGAGGGTGGCAGGGCTGGTCCCTCTCTCGTGTCCCCACCAAGCACGCCTTGTGAGGGTGGCAGGGCTGAGAGAAATGCCTCCCCTGATTATCTTAAAACCCGGGCAGGCTCACAGAGGGAGGTGTGGTGGGCTACAGTTCATAAAACCTTACACTCAATAAACTTGCTAGTCTTTGTTGCAGAGTGTTGAATGTCTGGATAAAATTCCTCTAGCCGCGCAGCAGAAGTGAAGGGATTTACAGAGCAGAATTAGCTCCAAGTCCCCCAGAGTTGACCACCTCCGTTTTTCCTTATCTACTGGTACAGTATTTGAGAGTTGACCACCCTCGTTTTTCCTTATCTACTGGTACAGTATTTACACTCTCAATAACTCACTCTGAGACATTATCAGGGAAAAGAATAAAACCCCTTTTCTTTACGTACAGTTTCTTTACTTACAGATCAAACGGCAAATTGTAACAAAACATTTCTCCCTGATTTCAACAACAGGCCTCAATAGACTCACTGAAAAAAATAAAAAATAAAAAAGGGGGGGAGGAAATACAGAGCAGAGATGGGTGGCTCTCTTTGAACTCAGAAACGGAGACAGAACCATTTGTTACTGCTCTTAATAATTAATAGTTACCTCAGCTCAGTAAGGTCCCTCCCAGCCAAAACTACTAAAGGAAGCATGTGAGGTTGCCAAATTCAACAGTTTTCAAGGTTCCATGAGAATCTTTGTTGCTTTTGCTGCAACAAACAAATATGGCTGTCCCTTGGAAACATATTTAATAACTCACTACTGTATAATTATTTGGATTGAATATGTTTTATTAGTGTGTTGGATCCACATCAAATTACAGTACATTGCAACCCTATCTGTGGCTACTCAGAGATAAGTCCCAATGAATTAAACAGGACTTACTCTTGTGTAAATGTGCATAGATTGGTAGCTGGCAATGGAACCAACTACCTTGGGGGGTGGTGAGTGCTCCAACAGTGCAGGCATTCAAGAGAAATTTAAACAACTACCTAGCAGATACTCTTTGATTTGTATTCTTGCATTGAGCAGATGGCCTTATAGGCCCCCTTCCGACTTCATGATTTTATGAAGCCTTAGATATATTAAAGTCATTGAGACTTGATCAATATTTAACTTACTTATCCCACTGATTCCAGCTTCTGCATACAATCCGTTTCTGCTAACATTAATTGATATCTCATTATATTATATACAAAAAGTTTAGTAAACTTTATATTGATTTATTGGACTTTTTCTGATACTGTCTGTAACCAATCTGACATATTTTCTACTTACTTGTTAAAGAATGTAAAGTTTGTTGTATTTTATATTGTGGGTTGTAAACTGCATTGACAAAAAAAATGTAGAGAGGCAGTATATATTAAAAATAATCAAATAAAAGAGTAAGGAACTCTTATTCTCCTTTTAGCACTATTCTACAGTGATCACATTCTGTCATCTCACCTCAGATGTAACCTCTGTCTTTGCTCTCGCAGGACTGTGTTGTGTCTTTGTATGTCTGCCAGATGTCACCTAAGAAACCCATGTGAGTCACCTGAGGCACAAAACAGATGGCTGATCTGCCACCAGGTTTGGTTTTCAGAGATGGAGATCTGTCATTTTCACCCCATCTCAGTAGGCACTATCAGGTATAACAGGATAGCACCACACCAATCAGTGAATCACTATACCTGCTTCCTCCATCTTGGAACTTAATGGCTGAGACAGTGGACAGTGTTTTACGAAGCTGTGATAGTACGTACAGAATTTTTTTTTCTTTGCTAGCATTCTTAATGTTTTAATCATTGGATGTAGCTGATAGGTGATCATAATAAAGATTGACTGACTGCTGCTTCTTCTTCCATGCTCACCTTTATTTTTAACCATTAAGCCTGAGGGAGACTTCTGGTGAACTGGAAAGTTCTACTATCAGAGAATTGTGGTTCGTCTTAATAAAAAAAAATATCGCCCACCTATGGATTTTGTTTTGTTCTTATGGACCAACACTGCAACTTCTATTTCTAGTATTTGTATTTCTAACTTGGTCTCTTTGTATTTCTAACTTGGTCTCTTTGTATTTCTAACTTGGTCTCTTTGTGGGGAGGCACAAAAGGATTAAACAGCAGGAAACCTTGTATTAATCGCCCAGCTGCCATTTGCCAACAGGAGGAAAACGACTCTGCTAGCACACAGAATCCTTTCCACAGCTGAAATGAAAAAGCTGATAGAGCAAAATATTTAATTTCCATTTTCTGTCCTGATGCGTCTCTTTTAAGTAGGGTGGAAATGAAAGGTAGAAATTAGAAATGGGATATTTGTATATGAATACAAATATCCCAGACTCAGGTGGCCGGGATCCCCAATCCCATCTCCCGGAACCAACCCGGTCCATTTAACGGGCTGCTGCACAGTGCGTACAGCCACTGTCGTGTTTGTCACACTTATCTCGGAGAAAACCCAGCTGGTGCTTCTCCACCTTCCTGCTCTTCTGGTCACTTCAGCCAGGGGGTGGGATAAAAGGTCTCCCCGCTCAGCTGCTGAGCCGCCAGAAGAGCTGGAAGGCGGAGAAGCACCAGCTGGGTTTTGTTCGAGATTAGTGTGACAAACACGACACCGGCTGTATGCACTGTGTGGTGAGTCGTAAGTGGATGGGTTGGCTCGGGGAGGCAGAAGTGGGGATCCCCAGCCACCTGGGTCCAGGATATTCATATATGAATATGGATATTCCATCTCTGGTAGAAATTAATGATCTGTACAGGTATTAAACTCTGGGTGATCACTACCTGCTTCTTTAAAAATGTGTAAAACTGACAGGGATGCGAGACTATGTTTAAGTGGCAAATTTTGCTCCCCCCACCCCTGGGAGAACATAGTTTTCATTTTGTATTTTTATTTTAGAGGGGGAAATATTTGAGCTGCTAGCTGTTGGGAAGACGGGGTGTTGAAAAAGGTGGGGGACTCTCACCAAAGTTTAGGAGGAAAATACCGTAAATCACCCTGGAAGCTGCCCACCCCTATTGTAATTGACATCTCATTTCCCTCCTAGGGGCCCCTAGTAAATCCCTAAAAACAGGCAGATTCTCTAACCGAAGTTGCTGCTAGGCAACAAACTGAATACAGTAATATTCTGGTTACCATTCAGGATATGTTCCTAGAACATGGAGTGCTAACTGGAACAAGGTTAAATGGGTCACTGTAACATTATACGTTACTGAACAGGTGAAAATACAAATGAAAGTTTGAGCCAATTCCGAGTGTGTGGCACTAGAGGAGGAGGAGGACAAGGAGGAGACGAAAAATAGCAGAAAGAGAAGTGCAAAACAGGGAGCGTGTGTTGTATTGGAGGGGAAGAAGGGGCATAAAATGAAAGGAGAGAGGAGGAGCCACCTCAGCTGCCCCCACGCACGTGGTGCCTCCTCTGCTTTTACCGCATGGGGAGGGGCCAGCAAATGGGGAGAGGCTGCAGGAGAGCTCCCTACCAATCCTTTGATGACTCGCCTGCTTGGTTGCTTGCACATGCATGGACGTATGTGTGGATAGCATATGTGTTTCTCTCTGGGACAATGTGTGTGGAAGAGGGCTGAGGGAGGAGAGGAGAAGCAGAGAGAAAGAGGGAAGAGAAACGGATAAACTTGCGTGTGGTGTGACAAACTTTTACACACAATGACAGGCTACAACTGGCCAAAAAAATGACATTTGCAATAAAACACTGCAATCACGTCCGACTTATACTAAGACAAAATACTAAGACAAAAATATGAAGTAGACAATCCTAGTCATACACCAATTGCATAATTAGGCATGCTACTAGCAATTCAACAGAGACTTAATAATCAGTAGAGGGCCGAGAAACGGATAAAAAGAAGAGGACCGTTTGCTGCAACCAGAGTACAGTATAACCAACTAACTCTTGAGAGGGCAGCGGAAAGCTTGTTATAAAGAAACAGTGATAAACAGGGCAGTGTTGAGTGGGCTTACTTGCGTGTGCTGTGACAAACTTTTACACGCAATGACAGGCTACAATTGGCCAAAAAAATGACATTTGAAATAAAACACTGCAATCACGTCCGACTTATACTAAGACAAAATACTAAGACAAAAATATGAAGTAGACAATCCTAGTCATACACCAATTGCATAATTAGGCATGCTACTAGCAATTCAACAGAGACTTAATAATCAGTAGCTATTCCTTCCTTCAGTTTATGCCATTGCATTTGTACCAGTCAATAAGTCACTGGCCATGGCTTCAAAGCCTGCTAAACCATGTTGTTCCTTACAGTTATAGCTGCTTCTTTTAAAAAGCCCCTATTCATTACTTTCCCATTTCTAAAAGGTAAGTGAAACCATGAATTTTAAATTACTTTTCAAAAAGGAGAACCACCTGAATGCAACAAACTGCTGCACTGAAGTACCAAATATTGCCCAACTTATCAGGCGGAACAGAGTACAAGCCTTCATATCCCTCTTCCACCATTTAGGGAGGCTACATATGCATAACTATAAAAGTAAGTAAAAGTTATTATTATACCACAGGAAGAGTAAAGTTAGCCTTCACTAGATTATAAAACTAATTATAATACTAATTATAATATTACTACTAATACTAGATTATAATACTACTGTACGACAAATTTTATAACTAATTCATTATATCTTTGCAGGAGTTAATTGCAAGTACTGTAATGTTTGTAACTAGTTACTGCTAAATTCTTCCTTGACATAATATAAAACCAGTTTCCTAAACACATATTAAAGAGAAATTGACTCATAAGAGTCCACACCTACAAAACCTATGGGGAAAGAAAGAATAAGCTGGAAACACTTGTTTTCCATCTATTGGAGTCACTCATGAAAGGGTCATGCCTGTCAAAAGAAGCCATTTCTTAACCTTTCCACCTCAAAATCAGCATGAACCATTAATCTATCTGCATTAACTACAAACCTCTCCAGTACCATATCCCACCCTTATCAATGCCAAACAGCCATGCTAATTACATGGTGTTTACACACCCCAACCTCCATGCTACCTACCATATGAAAGTGGGCATCAGAAAAGAAAAACACAAAGACTAGACTAGTGGTTTAAAGGCTGAATTAGCCCAATGCCAAATTACAAATATTTGTGTTGGGTATTTGGTGGGCAAGGAAGATAACCATGTTTGGGTTTTGCCTTGCACCAGCCCCCCATTATCATTTTATCTGTTTCACAGTTGATGTGGGAGTGTAATAGCTCATAACTGGTACAAATGCTTGGCATCTTTTTTGGTGGGGGTGCAACTGTTTATTTTTCACTTTCTATATGAACTGCCCAGGTTACAGCTCAAACACGCACGTTACAAATAATTACTGATTTGAGCACAAGATTTGAGAAGGCCCTCTCTCTTTCATGCTTGTCTGGTATAGCTCATGAAGAAGGAAGCCCAGCCAACAGAAGCAATTCAAGTACAGCTGCAACAGGAAGTCAGTCCCCCTCAGGTGACATCTAATTCTGTTTTCTCTCGGCATCTGAAGTAAATGATGCAAACACATCCAACAGAGATAAAAGGAGACTTGGCTACCTCAGTAGAGATGGGTTAAAAGAAACAAGGTCAAATCAGTCAATCATGCATCAGTTAGCCTTCTCTGCCAGCCAATAAACTTTCTGTTCATAGACTTTAGTGGTATAGATAACATGCACTAAAAATTGATATAAGAAAATATTCCAAGAGTTGACGAGTGGTAAAAGTGATCTCAGAAGCAGCCCTAATGCCTAAATATACATGTTATTCGAGAATGATTGAAGATAAAGAAATCAATAAAGTTCTCAAGCTACAGTCATCTTTTAAACAATCCTTAAATAAGATTTAACCTACAGGAGTCTTTTCTCCTTGTCATACAGTTTTTCCAAAGATACATAATACCATGTGTTAAACTAAAACATGGGCATTTTTTTAAATGAGGACTATTTCTATATCACATTATAAATGCACTATACAGTACTTTAAATATATAATTACATAGGGAATCAGACAATGGCCAAATTCTGTTGCTTGATATAGTAAGACACAACTAGAGTAGGCCTGCTGAATCAATGGAATTTACAGAAGAGCTGTAAATCCCCATGGATCTATTCCAGTTGCAAATTACTATGCTAAGCGATAGGACTTCAGCCTATATATTATAGATTATAATATATTTTATAATGAAGATTTCACAGCAGAGAGTAAGAGCATGAGATAAAGATAATTAAAAAGAAGTTGACCTCACAAGAGCTTTAATTCCACTTATTTCTAGTATCATATGATCAGTTCTGTCACAGCACAGTAGTTATGCCCTGGAACACATTGTGGGAATTACTTTTAAGAACTAATTGAGCAACAGAAAAGCCCAATGAACGAGCTTCCATTTGTGGAACAGACCATCAATTCCTGCTTGGCTAGGATAATCATTTCAGAAAGATAAAATACAAGCAGAAAATATATTGTAAGTAACTTAAGTGTCAGCAATTGGACATAGCTCTCTACCTTTTACTTTCTTATTATAGAGGATAATATTGTCCTGTTTTAATTATTGATTCCAGATCCAAGCTCTGATATTCAGAATATTTGCGGATGCCAAAATCCCAGGAATATTTAAAATCTACAGTTACAAATAACACAAATGAATCATTCTAAATCAGCCCAGAGCATCATCTTCGGCAGATGGTGCTCTATGGTAGAAATGGCACAAGATAAAAAAGGGCCTCAAACCCTCACCAATAAATACAGAATGTGCTACAGGAAGCAAGCTATGAGCCTAATAGGTAAGCATTGTGTATGCTCAGCATTAAACTAGAGGAGACTACGACAGTCAAACCCTCCCATTTTAATCTTTAAACCCCAAATTTTCTAGCTGGAAATTCAGATGAACTGAAAATGTTTTGAAGTAAGAAAGTCAGCAAGAATGTGGGGTCTATTTAGTGTATTGCATAGAGCATTACATGAATAGTTAGCATGTCTGCTGCATAGGCATGACAGGTATGCTCAATATAATGTGCTCTTGTTTCTTGAAAAAAAGGTTTGTTCTGAGGAGGTTCAGGTAGCCGACTTGGAGAGATGCACTCATGTTGTTGGTGCCCTACTTTTAAGGTGACATTTCCTCTGCAGCGTGTCACTCTAAGGTTGAAGGAAATAATTCCTCAGAAGGGATCCACACCTTGTACAAAAGCTTGATAGCCTATTGTTCAAAGAATATACATTTAAGAAACGGAGAACAATAGCAACCAATATAATTTAAAAGTACAGGTATGAGTTTGCAGACCACCAAGTGACTTACCTGCCCACTGTGAAAGTAGTAGATACCATTATTTACCTGGAAAGGTTCACAGACAGTGCTAGGAAGAAGTCAGGAGCCCTTGTGTTGCACCTAAGAGGCAGTAATGTGAGGAGATGTAGTTATTTGGATCAAGAAGCAAAGTTTAGTTGCTAACTTACAATTCATATTGCAAACCCTTTAGAATACTACTTGTCATAACTGCACTTTGTTATATGCAATGTACACAGATAGTGCTACTTTAACAAAAGGTAGGAAGTTGAAATCCAGGAATTCCAAGGCTTTCTCTGAAACAATACAATGCATGCAAAGCTGGCTAGGGTGGAACAGAGATTTCAGTGTATGGAGTTTGTGGTGTCAGAATAAACTGTCTGAATTTATTCAGCACTTCAGTAGAAAAGAGACAGGCTCCACTGAACCTTTGTGGAATGCATTTGCTAGTGCTGTATAAGGAAGGTGGCAAAGAAGCTTTTAACCTGACCTACAGTATTAGGGAAAACTAACAGGAGCTGGAAGCCATCTGATTCTGTACTAATCATCCCTAGGGGGGATGTAAATGTTTATTGTTGCCCAAATAATGATCATACATTCATATACAGTAGGCAGTGAACGTACAGCATAACATGATGGTCAGCAAAATTAGCCAAAGAGACCGCAGGATAAACATATATACTGAATACATTTAAAAGGTACATCAGTCAACAAATGTATCTAAAGTTCCTGAGCCAATATGGTTATTGCCCTTATGTCCCACTTGTGGGCTGCCCAGTGGCACATTTGCTGAATTAAATAGGACTTTGGTCTGATCCAGCCAGACTCTTATTTTGGATAAGGAGAGCACACACTGCCACCATCCAATTATATACAGAAATTTAACACTACTCAAGGACTCTTATGGCACCTTGAAGCACGTCTTGACGCTGACTTTTAAGGATCCTTCCACCAGTATTTTGACAGATACGTACAATCAATTTTTAAAATTATGAATATTGGTTGTTCAACACTCCCCACTTACCCAACTGGCAAAACTTTCAGAGGTAACAAAAGGCTTTATTTTTGTTGGATGCACTGGGCATATACACTATTCATGTAATATTTACTTTATATATACAAACAAGATATATACATATCTCTCCTACTCTGGCCATGCTGCTGATTAAACAGAAGAAGGTTCCACAAAGAGAGCAAATCTGGGGTAAACTCATCCAGCTGCACGTCCACTTCCTTTAGTTAACCTATAGTCCCATTACAGTATTTTAAAAGCAGATGATTAAAAACTGAACACAGCACCAATCTTAAATCCCCAACACTGCAGAACAATTCCTCTTTGAAGAACTTGGGGAAAGATTAAACGTTTTACTCAATTCCTCACCCCAGGAAGCACTTCAAGTAAAACCATAATTAGGTCCATTAATAACAACAACAAAATCAATACAGTCCAAGCATACAGGGAAATGTGAAGAAACCGTTCAGAAACATGAGGCTTTCAAGAAGCCAGGCAAACTTCACGATGGGAAAAGAACTATATTGAATTAAATAACTGGCGTTAATCAGATCCAGTCTGAGTCTGTAAACAACCCACCCCCCGTACTAAAAGCAAAGATTCAAAAGCCTTACTTACGGTACTTATAAAATCTGTTTCCTCAGAAGAAGCCTGGCCGTAATCTTGTTTTCCTGAAGCTGTCTGTCACTGAATCAAGTTTAAATTTTCTGCCTATGATTGCAACGTAAGAGTTTGGGAGGTACGGTAAGCAGAAAGGACCAAACTAGGGGACGTGGCGGAAGGGAAATTCCGAGCGGTGTGAAAACATACAGAGGAAACTGTTCTGTGTATGAAGGCTTTCTGTAATTGTGGTTTGCTGGATGAATAGGCCAGTGTCCAGTCGCCAAATTAAAACCCTCAAACTTGGCTGGCCGTACACTAAATTAATATTTAGAATCTTCTTTCCGATGCAGCATAGTCATTGGGGTGGGGGCAGATTTCCTGTATTTTTTCATAGCAACTGAAAAGGCAGGCAGAAATTCAGTAGGTGAAGGCTTTTCGTCTCCATGCCTCTTTCATTTCCTGCCATTTATGGTTACTGTACTTCACATGTTCCTTCTACTCAGAAACTAGGATATCTGAAAAGAAAATCCTCTGTATGCTGGGGGCACTTAATGTATCAGTGGTGGATTTACAGTTACTCAGAAGTCAAAGATCAGAGACTTATGTGACAAAAGGGAAATGTAGAATACACTATAGGCAATGTCCATGGAAGTTTCTGGGTGCAGTCACTGCAACTGGTGAAAAAATGTGGGGTTTCACAGCTAGGAAAGGGTTTCCCAAAGTGCACTTAAAAAGTCCTTGTCACACATTTCCAGAAAGTGCTGGCGCTGGCAGTGGAAGGGGGAATCCCAGGCATGGTGTGCAGTGGAAGGGGGAATCCCAGGCATGGATTGCCTTGAGACCCCACTCCAGATCTGCCAGCAGCACCAGCTGCTCCAGATCCTGGTGCACCACCTGTCATGGCGTCAGCACCTTGGATACAGCTGCCTCCTGAGTTTTGGCGGAGGGGGTAGTGAACCGGTGATTTATGGCTCACCTGTCCACAGAGAGGGCTCTGCGTGCCAGCTGCGACACACATGTCATAGGTTTGCCCGCCCTAGAATAAGCCCTTGAGGAAGGGCTGGGACCATCAAAAATTGGAGCCTCCAATGACCATTCCTTTCCTAAACGTGTCATAGGTTTGCCCTCGCTGACCTAGGATAAGCCCTTGAGGAAGGGCTGGGACCATAAAAAAAAATGGAGCCTCCAATGACCATTCCTTTCCTAATTTTAAGAGTCACTATGAACAAGGATCTTGAGAGGAAGCAGTGGCTTTGCAGTGTCCAAGTGCCTTATCCTATCCTAAGGATAGCTGAAACTGATCCAATTCAACCTGAGTAGATAGATGGTGTATTGGGCATCTCCATCAAATCTGGCATCAACAAGGGTTCAATGGCCTGAAAGATGCTTGATAATTCTGCAGGCCAGACTCCTCTTCAATGGTTTGGATTACCAGCCAAAGAGTTCACCACCCTTGCTGTCAATACAAATATCTTACAGCCAGAGCTCAGGAAAACTACCTTTTGATTATAATACCCACAATTCCACCAGGGACTTCGATTATCTAACTATTAATTGTACTCAAAGTAACTTTCCAAAAGCCCTTCATACAGCAGGAAAAAAAACTGCGGGTAAACTGCCTTTTCAGCAGTGCTGATATCGATTTATAAAAACACTACGATTTTGGATTTCTCAACAGACTTCTTCTGGCGTGTAATAAAAAAACAGAGCTGAAGGCGCTAAAATCGCACCTACAACTCTCCGTCAGCTCCTCGTGGGACTTTAAAATAGCGTCTCAAGGTGTACGAGGAAACGAGATACCGACTAAAAAGGGACGATTTTATTATCACGTAAAGCTCTCGATTTTCCTACAGGCTTCCACCTGTAAGGCATACGGGCGGGCTTGCCGCTGCCGCCGCGCATGCGCACGCAACGACGCCTGCTAGGCAGGGGCACGGTTGGTCTAAGATGGCGGCGCCCTGCGCTTTTGAGCCGTGGTTGGAAGGGCGGCTGGAGGCGCTGGGGCTCGACGGCGATGTCTACGGGGGTTATATACGAGGGGTATTACGAGAGGCGGAGTGCGACGCAGAGCGTCTGGAAGGGCTGGCGGGGGCGTTGGCTGCGGGGGAACCGGTGAGCGTGGCAGTCCTGTCGGCATTGGCCCTGCTCAGAAGCCGTCCGTATTCTACCTCTTCTTGAAGCTCCCCTTCGCCGGCATTGGGGCTCAAAAGGGGTGGGGGGGCCTAAGGCTGGAACGTCCTGCATCTCCTGATTTTTGGAGTGATTTTGTCTGTGCGTAATTAGTGTTTTTTTCAGGCACTGCCTGGATAACCGTTCGTCTCCGATTCACATAGGGGTTATAGCCAACGAGTCTGATCGCTAAAGGACCCCGGTACTGCGTTAGGAATGAGATATATTTGGTTCAAATCTTGTTTATGCCAGAAACTCGTAAATACTTTGTTTGCCAGTCCACCCACCTTTGTGCATCCGCAGCAGGTGAATGATCATGTTATTCCAACTTACAATACTGTTGTGAGAGCCTTGTAAAGTAGAACAGCAACGTTGTAGGGAAGCTGCTTGCCTGTGTTGTGCTGAAGAGGCTCCAGATGTTTGCAGACAGAGTCTTATCGAGAATCACAGTGTGGATTATGAGCTAATAGATCCACCATCGACATGGTATTTTCCCTCAGACAGTTGCAGGAGAAATGTAGGGAACAACAACAGCCACTCTTTGTGGCCTTCATAGATCTTACAAAGGTCTTTGACTTGGTTAGCAGGGACAGCCTTTTTAAAATCCTTCCCAAGACTGGATGTCCACCTCGACTCCTTAACATCATCAGGTCCTTTCATGAGGAAATGAAGGGCACTCTAGTTTTTGATGGCTCAACATCAGATCTCTTTGACATCCGAAGTGGAGTGAAACAGGGCTGTGTCCTCGCACCAACTCTGTTTGGGATTTTTTTGCTGTCATGCTGAAGCATACTTTTGGAACCACAGCAGAAGGTGTCTATCTTTGGACTAGATCAGATGGAAAGCTCTCTAATCTGTCTAGATTGAGAGAAGACCAAAGTCCAGCTGAAAGGCATGCAGGACTTCCTCTTTGCTGATGATGCAGCGGTTGTTGCCCATTCTACTGAAGAGCTCCAACAACTTATGAATTGTTTTAGTAAGGCCCGCCAAGAATTTGTATTAACAATCAGCCTGAAGAAAACATGAGTCGTGGGCCAGGGCGTGGACTCACCTCCCTCTATTACCATCTCTACACAAGAATTTGAGGTTGTTCATGATATCGCGTACCTTGGCTCAACGATCTCTCACACTTTCTCCCTAGATGTTGAGCTGGATAAATCCATTGGCAAAGCAGCTACCATGTTCTCTACACTCACAAAGAGAATATGGCTTAATAAGAAGCTGATGGCGTACACCAAGATACAGGTCTATAGAGTCTGTGTCCTGAGCACACCCTGTACTGCAGTGAGTCCTGGACCCTTTGTGGATGGCAGGAGAGGAAGCTGAACACGTTCCATATGCGTTGTCTCCGACGCATTTTTGGTATCACCTGGCAGGACAAAGTTCCAAATAGAGTAGTCCTAGAATGAGCTGGAATTTTTATGTGCACATTACTGAAACAGTGATGTCTATGTTTGCTTGGGCATGTCATGAGAATGGCTGATGGTCGGATTCCAAAGGATCTCCTGTATGGAGAATTAGTGCAGGGAAATTGCCCCAGAGGGAGACCACAGTTGCAATACAAGGATATCTGCAAGTGGGATCTGAAGGCCTTAGGAATGGACTTCAACAGATGGGAAACCTTGACATCTGAGTGATCGGCCTGGAGGCAGGCGGTGCATCCCAATTTGAAGAGGCACTTGTCCAGCAGACCGGGGCAAAGAGGCAGTCCCAAAATCAGGGAGCTAGACAGGGAACAGCTTGTATTTGTCTTCAGTGTGGAAAGGATTGTCACTCATATTGGCCTTCTCAGCCACATTAGACGCTGTTCCAAGACCTCTGTTCAGAGCACGTTACCATCGTCTCTCGAGACTGAAGAATGCCTACACAGATCTACGTACACTGCACGTTAATGTCAAATGTTTTTCATAGGAAATCCCATACAAAGATTCCTCTTGGAAACTTAACAGGAAGGTCAGATCTGAACTCACCTCAAAACTCATCTCTTGTTTTTGATTGATTGTTCCAACAAAAATTGAAGTTCTGTGGGATACAGATAGCTTCTCTGAAAAGCCAATAGTGCTCCAGGACAGTAGTTCTTAACCTTTGTTACTTGGATGTTTTTGAACTGCAACTCCCAGAAACCCCAGCCAGCACAGTTGGTGGTGAAGGCTTCTGGGAGTTGCAGTCCAAAACTCCTGAGTAACCCAAGGTTAAGAACCAGTGCTCCAGGAGACCCTCCATTACACTAATGGTGTGATTTCTGTGCTACTAAGCTTGTATGATTTCTAAATCTCATTATATGTTTACTTTCCTGTGTTTCATATTCCCAGCTGAGCACAGGGTAGTTCTAGTGTACTGGCTATCATTTTATAGAATGGTTGCTGAAATCTTGCTGTTGATGCTTTTGCAAGGCTCCCCATAGCACTATTAGGACTTTAAAGAAAATGCTGTGCATAGCAGTTATTTTAGTTGAAAGAAAGACTCAACCAGAAAGCAGAGGTCAGTTTTCAGCAGGTGATGGCAGATATATTCTTGCAGTAAATACTGTAATGTTTGTTCCCTTCACTCTTCATCAGAGAAGACAAAAGTCTGGGACCTTGTTCTGTTATTTAGAAAAGGAGCATGATTTTGGTAGTCATTGCCACAACATGCATATTTTAACATGTTACTGGCAAGAACTGGTAGGGGTACAGAAGAGACCAGATCAAATAGAGATGTTGGTATGAGGTGGGGGCTAGATTTGGCCTTCTAGCTTCCTGGATTGTAGAGTATCCCCACATAATAACTTAGAATGGTGTCATTTTGTGATGAGCCTGCTTTTTTCAATTAAAAATCCTTTTCCTTTTAATCAGGATGAAGATGTACTCCAAGATGTTTGCAGAGAAATAGTTGAAAAGTGGTCAGAGGCACAAAATGCTGGAACTAATGAGAAAAAAGAAGGTATTTCACACCCCTCTTTTTGGAATCACTGGGATGGCTACAGGGTACTTTCTGTATGACTTCTAACCTTGGGTAATTTGAAGTTTTAAGAGCTTTTCTCCTCTTACAATATTATCTCGCCCATCTTTATATTTGTTCTACTTAAACTTTTATCTCTGATATCTCAGCATCCTGCTTCCTTGAAATAACATAATATTTTTTAAAAACAACCATTTTTATTACTAACAATTGTTTGGTGTCATCAATAGGTATGGCACTTTTTCTTTTTTGTAAATGCTTTATAATCTCAAATCTGACAGAGGAGAAAGAGGTAATAGATAAGGTGTGACTCATCTTGAGCTCAAAATAGTACCAAGTCTAATTCATAAGCATGTGCAAACCAGCCTAAACAACTCCTCTGTTGCTTCATTAAAGCCAGGATGCTGGAGAACATAAAACTCCCAGTAGATGATATCTGACCATAGGTCATCTCTCCTGAAAGGACAATCCTGGAGTTCTCCTGTTGTCTTGCTCATTGACATCCCCTTATTTGTCCTTTGTCCCTATCCATCTCCAGATGAGATCGAAGCCATTGCCAGCATCATTGAAAAGCAGGCACAGATTGTGGTGAAGCCAAAAGAGATTTCTAAGGAGGAGACACTACAGAAAGCTGCCCTCCTGGCCCAGTATGCTGAGGTAACAGATGAAGAAGAATATCCTTTCAATATTCAACTTCTGAAATTTAGCTGGATGCATGCCGAATTGGGTGGCGCAAGTGCTAGAGTTAAGCAATGTGGGTCACTCTGCCCCATGGCCTTGGGGTAAGTGACCGTGGTCACATGGATTTATAGACAGTCTGCCATTCTTGAACAGTTTTTCGTTTCTGAACACAAGAGCTGTCACTGTAGAATCAGAGTAAATATGAGTATAATGAGACTATGAGAGGTAACTGACTCTTGAGTTAGAAAAGCTTACAGTCATGATTCTGTATCACTAAATAACAGATTCTGGTATCTTGAGGCATATGATTGCATTATCAGCTGAGGAAATGACATCTGAGTGTAACGTATCACACTAAAAGTACTATACTTCCTCTTGTGTTCTATTACCCCCTGTCCCAAATATCTAAGTGTTACCCTTAACTCAGCACACTGAAACAGATGTTCAGGATGATCCAGGAGCAGCAGCAGTAACTATCAACCCTGAAAAATGTATCCTTTGAAGTATTTTGAGAGTACATTTGGTCAGTCAAGTGTGGAACAGGAGCTTCTCTGAGAACCATAATGGTGTAAGAATGGGGAGGACAAATGTGTCCATGGGCTAAAAGCTTCAGTAGGCTATGGTGTATCTTGAAGATAATCTTAGAGGGCTGAGAAAAAGTGCCAGCAGAGCATTTAATTGGGGTTCGAATTGTAGAGGTCTGTATATGTCTGTCGTAGGAAACATGTTTCTCAGCCATGAGAAATTGGATGGAGAGTTGCAGGTCATACAGCAGTGGCTCCTAATGACCATGTACACCTATGATTGGTGTTCCAGAGACTTCATTCACTTTGTGCTTTCCTGACTGGGGACAAATCAGGATGGGTGAAGGACTGTGAAACTACATCCCTGCAACCTAAATGCAGCTACAGCCAGAGGTTTGATGAGGGAGATGATTTTCTCCTCCTTCTCACATGGAGAGAGAGGAGAGGGAGTGAATAATTCTTAGCTCGCTTCTGCAAGCACCATCTGAAAGCTGTAGATTTAAGTAGCTCTTTTCTAGGATCAGATTGCAGCTTAAAGTGGGGATTCCACTGTGTTCAGGGGGATTCTTGGAGATAACAGGCATTCCTTGTCTTGAGAAACTTCTTACAGGTTGGTTTTTGACTCTTGACTGTCCAGATTAGGCTTGTAGGCCGGAGTTTCCCCTTTCCTGTAGCAAGTAAACCCAGCTGGGCCTGAGTCCTTACCGCTTTCCAGCTGCTGATTGTTTGAGGCCTTCTCTTGTAAGGGCATTGTGCTGCTGAGGTGACCTCAGAATGCAGGTGCATTTGTGCGTTCCTTGTTTTCCTCAATGCCTTCCTTTCAGCTTTGTTCAAAAATACCAACCTGGAAGATGTGGTGAATGCCCGGAAGCTGGAGAGGGAGCATATGCGTGATGAGTCACATCGGAAGAAAGAGCAAGACAGACTCCAGCGGGAGAAGGACAAGTTGAGTAAACAAGAACGCAAGGAGAAAGAGAAGAAGAGGACACAGAAGGGTGAGAGGAAGCGGTAGCCAGGACAGTAATTGGACTATTCCCCTCTCTTCCCTCTGGCCCCCATTATCTAATATATTACTCAGCATGCATGCATGTATGCGTGTACGTACACACACACACACACACACTTTAAATACTGCGGCGTGTGCTTTCTGAACAGCAGCATGTCTTCTGTATTTTGGTGATGGACTGGCAGGAGTTCTTGTCCTCTTCTTTGATGCACTGAAAGAAAATGATAATTGTACACATTTTACTGTCCAAGGGTTGAGCTAAGTGGTGATGGCCAACATCTGTAACCAAAGAATTGTGTGGTAGCTACTCTCCCCCCCCTTGTCATTTTGTACTTTTATTAACCACTTCAGGAGAAACAAAAGTTATGGGGAAGAGCAAAGATTAAAAATGTGTCATGTTTGGAGCTACAGTTCCCAGAATCGGATGGCTGAGGGATTCTGGGAATTATCTTCCCAGAAAGTAATGTTTCCAACCTCCGGGGAAGAGTTTGAACTGCCTTGGCAAAAATCACTCTAGCCAGAGGTTGCTTAGATTGATGCAACTATGAACAAAATAGTTTCCCATATATGTAACCCAAGGAAAGGTTTACAAGTTTATGAAGCTGATTTAAAAGCCTGGTGAGCGACAATTAAATCTTCTGCAGCCAAAAATAACAGGATTACTACTACATTTTGGGGCTGGGCTAGTCAATCTCTACGTGATTTTATCAAGGCTGTATTTTTGCTGTTTAAGTAAAGTTCTGTGGCTTCTAATTTAATATGTGTCATGTTTGAATCTTTGGTGTATACTGTTCTTTATACTTTGTGCTTTTGGTGGGTAATTGGCATGACTGATTTTTTTTTGTAATCTAGAGAGCCATAAAAATGCAGACAATACTGAGCTACACAGACCAACACTCTGATATACAAGGGAGTTTCCTGTGTTTTCAGTGTGCCTTTGGAGAGGAGGGAAAATTGCTGTTTCTGTGAGAATAAATGCTTCCCTCCCCATTATCAGGAGCACTGTCCTTTCAGACTGGACTCAAAATTCACTGAACAGACGCAATACAGCAGATACAGAAGAATTTTATGTTGGAGGGGGAGGCCTGTGTGAGCTGTCAATCATGATGTCATCCCTGACCTCCATTGTGGAATCTTATTCTCAACTGAATGGCTTTTGTGACTGTTGAAGTCAACAGTGAATTGGAGAACAGTTCCAAAGGTTATACTTGCATTACCTGCCTGCAGTATTGCTTCAGGTTCCCACTTGCCCTTGCCATGTTTTCCTCTCAAAGGAGAGATTGCAGGTGTCATTCTTACCAGCCTAATTTAGAGCCCTGCAGGACCAAGAAAGTAGCACTTGTTTGTGAGGATGTAGTGGGCTAGTAAAGGCATCGTCCACCCTTGTTCTTGGATTGAATAGAGGAGCATGCTCTTCTTTGTTTTGTTGGAATATGAAATATACTCTGACCAGCTACCTAGGGAGGTATTTACAACCAAATAAGGACATCTGTCATCACAGAAATTGACTACATTGAACTGAATATTACATGTTCCACTACCCACTGCTTATTACTCTTAATTTGGCTACAATTGACTGCATTTTACCTAGTATGTTAACTAAGGGTTTGTCTACACAGCCTCAATTGGATCGGTAAATAGGGTTGCTTAAAGTTGGGTAGAGATCCAATATGCCATTTGGTATAATTCTTGCATCTAAATGGCAAATGCACCTGAAGCAATCCTATTCAGTCCAGCTCATATAAGAAAGCAAACTAATCATCATCATCATCATCATCATCATCATCATCTCCGTCCTTGCCTCGTCGTCCTCCCACTTTTGGTAGAAAGATTTCAATTTTTTAAAAAAAGAATTCCTAAGTGATGCCTAATTGGTTAAAAAAATGTTGGCTTTCCCCACTCTGATCCTTAAAGGAGCAGATGAAGGAAATTTTTAATTTCCCAATTTCCTCATATCATTAAATGGTTAAGCTGTCTTTTTAATCCACTAATGATACATGAATAGTGAAACTAGCTGGGAAATTAAAGCTCATTTTGGTTTATTTCCATTGACTGCACATACTGGAAATGAACCAAAATAGAGCAATCTTACCCGTACCAAAAAACAAGTAGTCCCTGACAGGAATCCAGAAAGTTGCAGATAGGAATGCTCCAAGGGTGAGCTGGTTCACTCCAGCAATTATGTCATCTAATTGACAGAAAAAGGAGTCAACCAGATTGTCCCAGCAGCAATGGAACAAATGCCTGTCGGATCACATCCTAAATTTTAGCCCAAGCTTGTTTACCATGTTTTTGTGTACCTCTGTGCTTTACTATAAGGCAGAGGTGCTGCGTGACAAGCAGCTGCTTCTCTACTTAGGACTTAATTCATATTGTTTGGGGTGAAACCTGACACACTGAACTACAGTGCTTCAGCTTCCATTTTAGAACTGGTTCCCAAAAAAAGAGTGGCTACAGCTAGCTGTGATTTTTGGGACTATTTAGTACTGCAAGACTTGAAAGCTGGCATCTATCTGTGTGAGGTTTTAGTGATCAGGAAAAGGTATCACCTGCACTTGTTTTTGGACTATGTAAAAGGATCAACATGCCTTTATTATTATTAGTTCACCTCACTAGGACTGTTCACATTGAGATTTTGTCCACTACATCCTCACTTTAACATGGTATAGGGATAAAATGATTATTGGGATATCTGTTTCTCACTTGGAATCACAACTAGCAGAGATTACCGGAAGAAACAACTTTTCTCTGCTTTCTAGCATGCTCAACAATGCTGTAGATGCCAAGAGCTTTATCTCCAAAAAGCAATATATACATCTAGAAATGACACCAGACCCTCTTTTTTGCAACAAAAGTCAGTTTATTAAGAGAGTAAAGTTAGTACAATGTTTATTTTTACAACATGTAACATATCAATGTCAAAACTCAACCCATCTTTGTGCAGTGGCTACTATGGTGGTGGTATGACTGTGCTGTCATATGTAGTTTATTTTGGCAGCAAAGAAAGTCATTTCAATGATCAAAATGGTCCCCTACATTTCCTGCAATCTCAATCAGTTTCTTACATCATCTAAAGGCAATTTATGTGGTTTGATTACACTTCTTAGCATACCAGCATTTCTAAAAGCTGGACGAATACAGATACTTAAAATATCTGTGCACCTAGCCAAAGGCAGTTCAGTAAATTTTATCCAGACATTATAGTTTATCTTTATGCTAGACTGTTAAAACCCCAGATCTCCTAAGCCACATAATAACATGCTAATTTAATAAATTACCCATGTCCAATAAAAATATATTAATAGATATTAAGAAAAAAACCAAGCATCCAACAGTGCTAAAGTATGCCGAAGCAAAGTGAAAAAAACAAAATATACACCAAACAATCTCAAACCAAACTGGCTAAAGAGTAACCTGAAAGGAAGTGCACTTCATAACTTTTTGATACCCTCCTTTAAAAGTAATAAGCCAAGGGTATTAAAATAATATTCATTATTTCAGTTGCAATGCAACTGCTAAAGACTCAGATAAATGTAAATTTACTTACATTTAAATTCTTTGAAACAGGCAATATTTTATTGATATTATTTAAAATACTAAGTACAAATGATTTTGGAAGCTTTTTTTTAAATATTCCCAAATATGCATGGTTGGATAATGGCTTTAAAATAATATCACTAATTTGAGAAAATCTGGTCAATTTCTTTACTTGCATTTAAATTAAGATTTCAAATCCATAAATAAGTATTTTTAAATATTTTCATTTTCTAAACTTTCATACTGGGTATATTCAGCTGTCTTCTTCCTGTTTCTATGTATTCATTGTCAATAACCCCCCCCCATCAAAACTTGTCTTAATAGACTGCACACAATAGTGCATGACTGTAATTCAAATTCATTATTTGAAAACATTTCCCAATGTAATCTAAAAGAATTTACCATACAGGCAAAATTCTCATTGCATATGCCTGCATTGCAGAATGGATTTATGTTCTACTTTAGCATTTTAAAATATTCTGATTTATTTTACCTAACACATTTGATCAGCCTCATCAATGTATTGATTCTGGCAGCTGTTAACAGACAAGACTTCGCAACTTGTGCTAACAGCTATTCATCAGTTGTTGAACTGTGTTTCTGTATATTTCATTTCCAAAATAAATTTTAAAAGTTCATTCACAATATTTTCTATAATGTGATAGTATACTGATATCTTGTTTTTATTTATTTTTCTCAGTGTTTTTTTATTTCTCCTCTCTGGAGCACAGGGTTACTGCTGTTTATGTGATCATAAGTCTTATCTTCAGATTGGACTAGCTCTTGTAAAGCTTTCTCCACCTCAGCTGATCCAGATGTTGTGGTTGTTTTTGGCAACGTCATCTGCAGAGCACACCACAGTATAGTACGAGCTTTCCGTGTTGCTATGCACATTTCTTTAATCGCCAATGCAAGAGCAAAAACATCTGAAATGGAGAAAAAGATTCCCAACTTTTATGTGCTCAATCACTACTATTTGACACATTACATTTATGTTTTATCCGAATGTCACTGACACTTATGCAAGAGCAATCCCTACCAGAATGGATGCAGTGTCGAACAGCAAAATATCTGAGCTGTGAGTAACAATTAAAAATAACACTATTAATAGTTTACTCTTTACATTTTCTTTAATCTAACTTATATCTTCTTTCGATATATTTCCTTTATATACATTTTGATAAAATTCTTGTAATATTACTAATTTTTCTTTCATCAGGCTGCAATTGTTGTATCTCTAATCACTCCAACTGTATTTTTTATCTTTTAGTTTGAGATACTCTGTCTAAAAGCTTTGAATTTTTATTACTATACTAAAAAAAATTCACTTCGAGTATATCAAATCCCTCTGAACCTTTTCTAACTCTATGCTTTCTAACTCTTTCCTTTTAGCTTAAATCTCTAGTCGTTTCTTATTGTCTCTATCTATAAAAGATTTGCTTTCTAAATATTTTAATGCTTCTTCTCTTTTTTATATATTTTCTTCTCTCAATTTTTTTATTCTGCATGATTCCCTTATGGTAATTCCTCTCATAACTACTTTCATGGTATCCCATAACACTCCTATTTTACTTCCACCTGCTTCATTTATTGACCATATTTCTATAAATTCTTTTTTAGCCCTATCCATTACATCTATATACTGAAAAATATTGGAATCTATTCTCCATCTTCTAGCCTCTCTATAATCTTTCTGAACTCTCATCTATATCATCATCAACGCATGACATTACTAATACCCCACCTCAACCCACTACATCCTCACAAACAAGTGCTACTTTCCAAGTCCTGCAGAGCTCTAAATTACGCTGGTAAGAATGACCTCAAAAAAGCAGAATCCACACTAAACTTCTTCAAAGAGGAATTTTATAATTATCTTCTAATATTCTTTGAGCTAGTCAACTGTATTAAACATGTCAGTCAAATGTTTCTGTAACCCATCAAATTAACAGACTAAGCAATCAATGATACTTATTTAATACAGGATAAGCATCTATTATGGATGATGAAATTCAAAAAAATTCTACTGGATCCAAGACGCAAGTATTCCCAAGGGCTTCTTTATTACTATGAGTGCTGAAGAGATTTGTGGTTTTAGAATGGGTTTTCTTGTCCTTTAAAGGAGTTTGAGCTGTCATTTCACATAATATGAATGTGTTTAACTAACCAGTCTGTCAGTAACAACAGTTTCAAAATATAGATTAGAAAGAGGAATTATATTTGTGACTACATTATGTAATATCCACTATGTGTTAGGTCTTTAATTCCAGATGAAAATCATTCTGACTGAAATTATTATGGTAAGTGATTTAGCATTCCCAATTCTAAATCTTGCACCAGCATTAGCACTGTCATAAAACCCCTGAAATGCCAGCAAAGGTTTGTGACGATATAGTCATTTCACAGTCAGAGGTGGTACATACTACCTACAATATTTTATTTATTGGGCCAGCAAGGCTTTTGTTTGAGTTACAGTTTTCAAATCATCTGTGCCAAGAGAGGTCTTAGAAAAGTCCTGAATCCTACACTAATTTAGAAATTTATTAGAGATGGGCACAAACTGGAAAACCAATGGTTCACGATGGCTTGCAGTTTGTGGCCAACAAACCACGAGCCCCAAGAAAAATTAACCAGTTTGTGGCTCGTTTTTCCAGTTTGTGCCTGGGGCCCGCCTACCTTCTTCTGTCTCCTCCTCTTCTGCCACCCACCTGCCCACCCCTTTCCCACTGCCCTTGTCGCCTCCCTGCCTTGTCCTGCTGCAATTGTTTTATCTCTAATGTTAAATGCAACATCAATGGCGACAGACAGGTAAGGAAAGCCAGTCCTCTGGTGCATGTGCCCGCTGTCCAGCTCATAAGAGGCAGCAGACCCAGCTTATAGGAGCTGAGCAGATGCTTCTAAGCATGCACCCACCTATCAGCTGGCTACCAGGCAGATGTGCAGAGGCAGCAGTCCCTGCTCTGGGAAGAATAATGGCCTGTTGTCTCTGAGGATGGTGGCAGCAGCATGACTAGGTAGGGAGGCAAAAGGGGTGGGCAGGCAGGCGTTGAAGGGGAAAATGTTTGGTGCTTTCTTTTGTGTTGGTAAAACAAGATCCATGAACCAGTTCATGAACCGAACCATGAACTAGCCTGATTCATCAGTTTTTCTGGTCTGTAGTTTGGTTCATGCCCATCTCTACTGCAAACTAATTCAATACATAATGGTTTTCTTTGAACAAAGTAACTCAAAATAAATAAAAGGAAATTTATTTGTTACTGCTAATGGGCAACTTTTAGAAGAGCAAATATAAAAAGGAAAATGCACCTCTATCATCTTGACACCGAGGAGCTCCTTGTCTTTGCCGATGTGAAGCATTGACAATTTCATCCTTCCTACGGGACTGCACAATGTGAATTGCTTCCAAGTGCTTATCAAGGGCTGTAGAAATATTAGCATGAAGAGGAGAACTCCGAAGTCTTTCCATCTTCCCCAGCAGAGTCACAACCTAGGAATATTAAAGGGCAGCAGCAGTTTTCAAACTCTTTCAGTTACTCTCTTTCTGCCAAAAATAGTTGGTTCTACCAAATGCTTCTGTGAAATACTGTCACCCCTGAGAAGGTCCAGTATCAATCTGTTACCATAAAGATGGTATGTACAGTAACATATAAAATTTTCTGTGGGCCTAACACAGATACTAGATTTATGTTTTTCAAACAGCCTATGCTATCCCTTTAAGGCCAGATTCAAAACAGTTCATAAAAATGGCATAGATGGGATTAGTTTCTCAGTAACCAAGGAGAAAAGCTATACTGAACAGGCCTAATGTATATTTTTTAACAACAGCCACCATTAACTTTAGTTAATTTCACTATTCATATTATCAGTTACTTCTTTACAACACACAGAAACTCAAAACAGTATTTTTTAAATCATATAATTAGTGGCAATGTAAGAAGGGTAGGCAAGCTATGGCTGAAATCCTTTTGCATGACTTTGCAGATAGACTTTGCTGGAAATAACTTGACCCAACTTAAGAAATCACAGTAGATGTTATTAGTTGCACACTGAGACATGCAACTCAGTATGCAACTGATGTATATGGTAGATTTCTTAACATGGGGTAATTTACCTCCAAAAGTTATGCTGTTTTTCCTAAACTAGTGTAATTAGGTAAGAGGATTTGGGCCTGTAATTGCCAACGCAATAACTTCCAATGTACTCATTAATTAGTTTCTCCCTCTCATATGAGAAAATCACTGCATGATAATCCCAGCAAAGCTATACATTTCTAAACCAAGGAAGCATCTCTAGTTTACACTGGAACAACATATGAATGTGGCTGGAGTACAACAAAAAGACTTTATTATAGTAGATGAATCATGTTGTTTGTGAAATTTCCTTTCCACCTTTCCACTAGAATAGCACTCAAGGTCACTAATCAAAATGAAAGCAATCAAAAACAGATTATACTATAAAGCCATTAAAATACCACATTAATTAAGCTATTAAAATTATCACAAAAACGGTAATTGTTGCATAATTTTAAAAAGCCAGTTTTAAAATATGAGTCTTCTTCACTCTTCCTAAAAGCAGTGAGTGTGTGAACTGTTTGCAGCTAGGGAATGCATTCCACAATCTGGAAGTCCAAGAAAGCTTTTTCTCATTTGTGTGCCACACAGCACTCCATAGGCAATGGTATTCTTGAGATCTTAAGATTTGTAACAGGACAAGCAATCCCTTATATGGGCAGGTTTCTGTCATTTGGCACTTCAGAAGTTAAAATCAACACCTTGAGCCTGGCATGGAACACAACTGGCAAGCACTGATATTTCTTAGTATTAGATTAACACGATCTTGATATCATGTGTACCAAAAGGTCTGTTGTCCTTTCCTCACGTAGAGTGTAAGTAATCAACGTGCAATGAAACTAAGGCTAAATTATAAAAATGATGAACTAACAATTAAGAAGTGATAGCATGTTTTCCCTTTGACAATTCAGTTTTTTCAGAACTTTGTGCTTCAGCAATCAAACTTAACAATCACTAACAAAAAATAAACTACAGTATTTGCCAGCGTATAAAACGACTGAGCATATAAGACGACCCCCCCCCAACATTTCCACTCAAAATATAGAGTTTGTTATATACTCACCGTATAGGACTACCCCCTCTTCCGCACACCTTCCACACACCAAATAAAAGGTGCTATTCATTGTCACCATTGTACGGCCGCAGCACGACCGCAGCGCCTCCGGCCTGCCCCTGCATCTCCGTGACCAGCACTAGTGCGCAAGTGCGCATGTGTGAGCTCTGCATAGACAAAGGGTGGGCCGGAGCGCCTCTGCTTCCCACCAAGCAGAACGGGCCAGTCACGCCAAAAAGGCTGGTACCCCTGTCTCGCTGCTGATGCTCGCTGCGGCCGCGCTGGACACCGCATGATACTGGACGGTATGTAGAATTAGGTGGGCGGGCATCAGGAGGCTACTATGGGTACTGGGCAAGCATCGGAAGGCCACTATGGGCAGCTATGTCTATCCCAACTGAAGTGCACTCGACGTATAAGACGACCCCTCCCACTTGGAGGCATATTTTTCAGGGCAAAAAAGTCATCTTATATGCTGGAAAATACGGTAATTTGTTAAATTCAGAATGAGAAAAGTTGATGCTAGGACAATCAGATATATTTTATCACTCCAGGTGCACCACTCCTAAATGTGGAGTTGATCAGCTTATCTAGCTTGATCCTAAGGGACAGGCAACTGTTGCCATTTTAGGTATACAGTATAGAGAAAAGATCACAACTGGGCTAGTGCAAAAGCACTCTTCACCATTACTACCACATGAAAGTACAGGAAGCGTAGACAGGCAATGAGTATTTCCAGACTCCTATTTTAAGAGTGCAATCCCTTCCAGAACGAATTGAATTTCAATTCCCAAGCTAGACTTTCTCCTGACTAGTATCCCTCCAGCCTGTCAGGGTTTAATTTCTGCTTGTCCACTCTGTTGCCAATCCTTATCACATCCCCCAAACAACTTCTGAACCCTCTCACTGTTTCCTTACTATCAGGTGACAAGGAGAAAGAGAGTTAGGTATAATTTACATATTGGTGACATATCACTCCAAAACTTCAAATGATCTTTGCCAGCAGCTTCATAGATATTGAGCAACATGGGAAACAGGATAGATTTCTGTGGAAAACAAAACACCAGATACCTTTGGGACAAAGAGTGATCTCTGAGCATCCCTTTCTGGGCAGAATGTAATAGAGAAAGGAAACCACTGCAATACAGTGCTCCCCAATACCCAGTATGCCAAGCAGTCCATGTACGTATAATGTACAGTTTTGGCTCTTTGCTCTCATTTCCTTTTTCTTGTGTGTATTTTCCCCATGTTCTTCTTTTATCTCATTTAACTGTTCTATCTTTAAAAAAAATTCATATTTGAGACAAGAAGAAATGTGTGGAACTAGTCAAGAACAGATGTGAAATGGCCAGCTTTGGACATGCTACTCAACACTTCTGCTATCGTTATGGAAGGTACCGTTGGGGTCCCCAGGATGGAAAATCCGATTGATCATGGCACGTTAGCTGAGATGGTCAAGAAGACCATCCTTATTCTAACAATAGGGTAATGTTATAATATTATTAAAATAACATCGAAATAATAAGATTATATATTAGGGAATTAAAAAAACTAGTCTATGCGTCAAACTACCTGAGAGGCCAACTTTGCATTTAAAGCAAAAAGCATGCTGACTCTCTACCAATATAATTCCAAGAGCTGTGTGCCTAAGCAATCAGATTAAAAAATTCATTTCTGAATGACCAATCACATAGTAAAGCAAACTAACTTGCTAAATGTGGGAAATGAGAAAAGCTTATTCTACAGTCAGAGTCCAGATAACCAGGAGAGACAGATTACAGAAACAAGCTTGTGCTAATCTGAGGAACATTTAATAAATATTTGGACTGGGAAAGAATAAAAAAAAAACAGTCAAAACAAGGTGACATTTAAATAACTCACTCTGGCTTGTTCTCGCAACTGATCCACAATTAAACGATCAACTCGGGATGGATTTGATGTCAGCCTTGGAATTGGAGTATTGTTAGTACTGGACACCTTCTTCCCAGGGTAATTCTTTGCAAGAGCTGATTCAGTCTGAAAAAACACAGAAATCTGACATGTTAAGATGATAAATTATTTTTATCATGATACAAAGCTGTGTTCTCTCTTCTAGGATGCAAATGATATTGCTATAACCAGTGAATATGGACATAGCTGCAGTAACCCAAAGCTCCTGCAGTGCAGCTTGCAATTCTAGGACCAAATACTTTCCAGGAGGTCAGTGGTCTCAAAGGTGATGTTATCCTGCAAAATGTCTGAAACATTCTGTTGCTCAGTGATTTTCCCCCAGGTTTCTCAAGGTCATTGACATTTTAAGGCAAATTAGCTAAGAAGACAACTTTCTTCAATATTGTAAAATAGTATGAGCAGAAGCTTAAATTATACTGAGATTCTGGAACTAAATTTATGGCTTCTTATAGAAGAGCGAGCACCAACTTCTTGCTAAAACTAGAGAGACTGGGAGAGCAACAGCTAGGGGCTAGAACCTTGGGTTTAATGGAAAAAGTACCAATTGACAGCCAGGACTCTCCAGTCCTGTAGCTATGTATGCAGAGTAGTATTAACGTTTAAACGATGAAGTCTATAAAAGGCTGTGATGACAAATACTGTTGATTCAACCAATATGGAGCACACATTTCCCTTAAATATATCAAACAGGGATAACTCCTTAAGGTTGATAACCCCAGTCAGAATAATTAAGATACAAGAATAATTCATTAAATTTTTGAAAGCATCAAAAATAATGCAGAGATGGTCACATTTAATTGGGAATGCTTTTTGGTGAAACTAATAACAGCTAACAACGTTAGATTATGAAATTCAACATGACTTCCCGATTTTCCTGTTTCATTGTATTTATGAACTTGTTTACTAGCAAAACAAAAGTATATGCTTATGGAGTTCTATAACTAGAACAATTTAAACTAAAAATCTGAGACTACACCAGTACCTATCATAAACAGATGGCTATATAGGGCATGGGATTTTGATATAGTGAAAAAAACCAAGATAATTAGCCAAAATCCTGCTGTGCAGTTACATAGAAGGTGTAATTTTTAGCACTGAATTGTTATAAATTAATAAATTTCTATAGATTTTATCTGTTACATACTAAGTCGTGTAAATCAGCAAGCAACAGGTAATGTCTACAATGATTTCTTATTTTATGCAATTCATCACTAAGTTTCAGCTTTTGTGTAACTGTAATTTCAGCCATTATATTGGACTGAAGGTATCCATCATTTTTGCCTTTAAGTTGAAAGAAATGAAACAAAATTATACAATTTGGACGAATAATTATTATGCCATCCTGTTAAATTTCAATCTATAGCAATTGTACCAGGGTTTTCTAGTTATAAAGCACTCAGGATTTAGTAGTAATTTATAAAACTGTCCTGATGGTGCACTGGGATCATGCACCTTGACCAAGGCCACACAGGTAGAAAAGCATTTAACCCCATAAGCCACACAAGTTCTACCTGATATTGGCTCTTCTCCTGGGAACCACAGTGGAGATTTGGATTTCTGGCCTCTAGTTCTGCAGCCAGGCACGTCAACCCACAGAGCTAGAAAACTGGCTGTTTTATTTGTTTCAGCAGAAGTAGTACGTTTTATCCAACTACAGTGGTGCCTCGCATAACGATTTTAATTGGTTAAAAAAAAAAGTTATGTGAAACATCGTTATGTGAAACACCATTTCCCATAGGAATGCATTGGAAACCGGTTAATCCGTTCCAATAGGCACGGATTGCCGTCCTTAAGCGAAAAAAACCCATAGGAAACATCGTTAAATGATACAATGTTTCCTCCATTGGAATGTATTGAAGCTGACTCAATGCATTTCAATGGCTTTGCGAAGTCAATTTTTGCAAATTTAAGTGTGTCATAAAAGGGTCAAAAGGGACGTGGTGGCGCTGCGGACTAAACCGCAGAAGCCTGTGCTGCAGGGTCAGAAGACCAAGCAGTCGTAAGATCCAATCCACGCGATGGAGTGAGCTCCCGTCGCTTGTCCCAGCTCCCGCCAACCTAGCGGTTCAAAAGCATGCAAATGCAAGTAGATAAATAGGGGCCACCTCGGTGGGAAGGTAACAGCGTTCCGTGTCTAAGTCGCACTGGCCATGTGACCACGGAAGATTGTCTTTGGACAAAATGCTGGCTCTATGGCTTGGAAACAGGGATGAGCACCCCCCCTAGAGTCGAACACGACTGGACAAAAATTGTCAAGGGGAACCTTTACCTTTACCTAAAAGGGTCAAAAATGGTTTTAAATGCTTGGATT